AATTAACGAAAATATAAATAACTGACAGCGATGAATATTTGTTATATAAATTCCGCAATTTTGTAGCTTTACTGGTCTTTCAAAAAGTGACTGCACAGCAAGAAAAAAGACTAAAAAAAGAAACAGGAAGAAGCTATAACTGTGCAAAAAACAAAACTGTAATTTAACAGTTGAATTTCTCAAAACAATTATTAATTTAGGATAAGCAGCAGAAATGTTTACGGGATCCAAATGCATTTAAAAACTTTATTAATGAAATTAGCAGTCAAGCAGCACAGATCCGAAACCGTGGTGGCTGAGCGACCTGAGGAACATACAAAAGCCAGACATTGCTTCAGAGTTTGAAATCTGATAGCAAACATTCATGCAATTTTACTTTCCTGTTTTTTTTTTTATTTATTTTAACAAAATCATTCCACACGTTTACCTTGAAGATGAACAAATAAATAAGGAAAAAAAAGGGAAAAGAAAAAAATTGGAAGAAAACTGATGACAGATTTCATAGTGAACTTCATCTGATACATAGTGTCTGTTTATTTGTACTTTTAATGTTGATAATAAATGATAAATGAATGTTATTTGAAGAACACTACTTTAGCAGTACAATCAATTATCAACACTACCAAAACTATGTTATATTCAATTAAAACAAATAAGTCAAAAACAATAATTAGCAGTAAAACAGAAAAAGAACAGCTCAAAAAAAAAAATCGTTATATAGAAGAACAAAAAAGAAGTTATTGTAGCATCTACTACAATTACTTTTATTTAAACTTCAAAATCATACCATTATTCTTACTAAAAAATAAAAATTTAGCTGAAGTTTAAGTAACAATAGAAGAAGAATGGTATCTGAGCTTACAGCTGTGTTTTAGCTTCAAAAGACGACAACTGTACAGAGCGGTGAATAGTCTCAAAAAGTTTTATGAAATATACCAAAATCTAATTTCGCATTTTTTTTTGCTCTTTTTATTTTTAATAAAATTTTGCCAAAAACATGATAAATATTCTAATGTCAATGCTGTTTTGATATACTTACCGTCTGTTGGCTGCTTAAAGTGCGTCTTATAGAATACAGTTAGTAAAAAAAAAAAAAACTAAACTGCCATACATACAAATATTGCTATGTAAAATTTATACCTAACTTTTTTTTTTTGGTTATTATGCAGAAAAAAAGAACATTTTTTTCAAATACATAATGACAAATAAAATAAATGAAAAGAAAAGGCCAAAAAATTAATGACACTTTAGGAAGAAATAATGATATGCAAATGATTTAAACAAGTCTTTGATGACATCGCTTTGTCTAATTTTTAAGTCCTCAGTGATTACACGTTTCTTCACAGTAACCTTTACAGTTAGTGCTAAAAAAAAAAGAACAAATTTTCAGAAGTCAAAAACTGTAATTATTTTAGTCAAAAAAACTGATTAATAAACCAAAAAAATGTCTAAAATTTGATACAGGAAATTTGACAAAAAATTAATATTAAACAATGCGGTTTAATAACTGTAAAATTAATTATTAATAAAATAAGACATTTAATAATGCTTAAATTATTTAATTAATAATAATTCAAAAAAAAAAAAAAAACAAAAATAATATTATTTTTATGATACAGAGAATGAAAAAACGAACGTTTCTTAAGTGTGTATAGCACTCAAATTTTACACATTATAAGCGTCGCTAGGCAGTTTATTCTTTAAAATAAAGAAAAACAAAAACAAAAAACTAAATTTTGTAATTATTGAGAAAAATTTTTTGGTGCTAAATTTCTTGTATAACATAAGAATTGTTCCGATTTTGTTGATAAAATCCAAATAAGACAAAAAAACAAAAAGCAACTGATTACTGCTGAAATAACAAACAGAAGTTCCACTGCATTTATTCTTTTTTCTTTGCTGATAGCATTTTTCTGACAAATCTCTTTGAATGTATCACTTTAACAAAAAAAGTCAAAAAGAATTTAAATGTAAAACTGAATTATCAAATAACTGCAAAAGGGAAAAAAAGAATTTATTTACAGATTAACACACAGCATTAGAACATCTGTTGACGACTGACTGACTGACTAATTTGCTGGCTGACTGTTTTCAGCATAGATTGTTTGACAATATGGTGATTCCGATAGCCGACAGTCTCTCTGACGACAAGTATTGGGAAAAGGAAAAAGGTGTTAACGTGTTGCATAAGAGGTTTTCTGTGTGGTATCTATCAGTAACATCAAACTTAGTTACTCTTTTCATTTTTCTTTTTCAAACTAGACGATAAGATTGTTTGCTAAATGCTAACTGCTGTAATCTAATTTTACAGCTAACATACAGTCAATGTTAACATCTGTCTAACTGATTATTCTTTCATCTTGTTTTTCTTTCTCTTGCTACTTTTTTTTTTAAATTTTTTGAATGCTGTTATGTCAAATTCTGAAGAAAGTGAAATTTCGAGAAGGTATTTCTTTATTTATTTGCATTTTATTACTGCTTTTACTCTTTTCAAAAAAAGGCCACTTTTTTTCTGTTCACAAGAGCAGTTATACACTTAAATATAAACTTTTTAAATCAGTTAATTTTGCGATACAAATAAAAATAAAAAAGAAACGACTAAGTTATTCTTACAAGTGCCATCTATATGTTTTTTTTTTAGCTTTACGGTTTAATTTTTTTCAGCTTCTTGAAGTTGCTTCTTTAATTTTTTTACTTAACCACTTAATACGTTTGATCGTACTGTTTATTAGAGTAGATGTAAATTCTTCTTTTTTTTCTCGCTAGACAGTTTATTGATAAAAATACTATTGCCTTTTCGTGGTTCAGAAGATAAGCTGTATACAACGTAGATTATTTTATAGACTATTATTTATAGTTATTTACACGATATACTTTTTCAGAATTTATTTTTTCTTAATGTTTACAACAAATCTGCTCTCAGACGGTATTGATAAACAGTACTAAAAAAAAAACACCAAAAAAAGCTGACAGCAGTTTGATTGATCAGAAAATGTTAGCATAAATTAAGATTAAAAAACAGATTACTTATTAAGTTGATAACTGCTCTTTTTAAAAAAAAAAGTTGAAAATTTTGTCCAAATACTTGCTTGCTTGAAAAAAGTTTTGGAAAAATATTCTAAATAAAACTGTATTATTACAACAATGAAAACAAGCTTTTTTTTTTTCATTATTTTATTTTGCAGTATTTAATTATTCAAAAATTTACAGGAGAGTATCTGTTGAGGAGGAATTGGACGATGATGTTTCTCGAATATCGGTGAAACCTGGTTGTACAATGGTATGTAAAGACTTTTATTAAAATGTATTAATTACAAAATAATTTTTACTTGGTTATTTTTTGTTCACTAAAAGCACTTTTCTTTTTTATAGTAACATAATTTGTAGCTGTTTTTTGAATTATCTTTATAATTACATAGTTTAAACAAACTGTTAGCTCATTGTTTGAGGAATACGCATCACAATTTACTAAACTTTTTAATACCTGTAAATTCTCTGAAAAATTTTTGACCAAACAAATTATAAGTGCTGCTGCATCTATTTAGTTGAGTAATTTAACCGTATTATTCCAACTGATCAAAACATTAGAAGAAAATAATGAACAAAAAACAAGCAAACTAACCGTCAATATAAAAAGTCTATTAATATAACCTTTTTCTTATAGTTTAAATCTATTTTGATACGGGTGATATTGGCAGTACTTTTTGTGGCTGTTGGAGTCGGTGCTGTCGCATATTCAGTTTTTAATGGTACAGTGAATAAACAATTATTCTGTTTAATTAATTACTCTTTTGCTTTTTTGTTTTTCTTATTTTGGCTAAAAAATTTATTGATTTATTACTAGAAAAAAAAAAAACATTTTTTCAAAAACAGTTTTTTATCGATAAGTTTTATATAAATGTTAATATAACCATATAAAAATATTAATCAGAAAAAGGAATTTTTTAATAATAACAATCAAAGTAAAAAAATACAGCAAAAAATAAAATTGATAATACAGCAAAGGTTTAAAAAATTTTGGCCCAAATCTCTTTAGTTTTCGTTTTTTTTTTTTTTTCAGCAGAAAAGCATGACGATTCAGATGTATTAATAGAAAAATTTAACATATACTTAGATCAACAGTGTTTAAATGGAACAATTTTGATTGAATATGGCAGTTATCAGTGTTCACCCGCTGGCCACTGTTACAACATTACAAATGTAAGTAAAATTTTAAGTTTATTTGAAACTTTTAAAACAATATTACGTTTTTTTAAAAGTAAAGTTACAACTTTATACTATAAAAATTGAAGTTTTGACAGTATAACGGACAACTAATTGGTTGATGATTGAGTATTTCATTGAAATAAAATTTCTTTTGGAGACATTGTATTTGACTGTAGCGAAGTTTAAATTATACAAATTTATAAATTTTTTTATTTCTGCTTCATATTTTTTCAAAAAATGATTATATTTTGTTATGATGCAAGAAATGATTTTTGGTAACAATAGTTAGACAAAAATTATTTAATGCAACTAAAAATAATCATTCAAAACTGTTCAGAAGCAAATGAACTAAACTGTTGAAGGTTACTGATAGAATGATAACTTGGGAACAGGATAACAACAACAAAAAGTTAAAAATAAGTTTTGGCGAAAACGAAGAATCAATACTACTAATTAGTAACCTTACAATTCAAAGAGATAAACGATCCGATAATGTAAGTTCTGTAAACCAAACTAATCAAAATTATTTATTCAACATATTATTTCAGTCTTTCAGCCAATTTAAAGAACAAACTGCAGTAAAAGCAGTTCTTTTTACAGCTGTCAAAAATTTTCCTCATTAGTTTCAATCATTTTCAATTAACTGTTACAATATAACTTTCTTTAACTGTACTCAGTTTATGTAACATAGTTGTTATAGGCTACTAATTATAACTGTACTGTTATTAAAGACAGTTATGACGATTTCTTGCGCAAACTTTGTTTGAACAATTTAAAGCGAAGCATGTCAGATCCACTAGTGACAATTGATGGTATAGCCGTTCGCAAGTATAATGGTTCTGGATCCTGCCAAGTAGAAAATCAGACTGTGTACATTGAGGCTTATTCTCGTCAGGACGGTAAAGTTTTCATTACTTTGAATTGCAGAACCAATACGACTGAAAACCCAGAAAAGATTGTCGGGTATATCTAGTTGATAACAATTAACAATCTTCTTTTTTAAGTTCTTTTCTAAGAATACAGTTTTGTGAATAAAAATATTTGTTTTTAGGTACAGTTTTTGGATGGGATGTGTTTTTTAATGTTTCTACACCTTTACGACGTTTGCGGTATCGCTTTCCATCTATGATGCTTCACACTAGTTCTTTTACATTAGAAAATACTTGTTGATAAATAGTCTAAACTTTTGTTCTAAAGGGTTACTGTTTCAGTTTGTAAGTGTAGTTTGTTTGTAAGACGTATAATCACAAATTGTGAAACTAGTGCCTAAAGGAAACAAAAATAAGGTAAAAGAAAGAAAACGGATGAAATTAAAACGAGCAGTTTTGCTGTAAGATACTTCTGAAATCTGTTTTAAATGTTAGTAATCTTATTACAATTTTGTAAAAAAAATTTTTTCTTATTTTTCTCAGCTAATTGTACGAACATAAGATGCGTTTGCTACCGAAGCTTCATTACTAAATTTTGAAAGTTTATTGGCAGTAAATCGTTCGATTCATTTACATACAGACATCGACAAAGAATTTTAAAAAATATAAAATAATTCGAGGAAAGGTAGTGATTCAAAGCTACAATAAACTTAAAATCGTTCAATAAACCCCATAAAGAAGCTAAAATTCTAGCTTCAATAGATCGCTGAAGTTTGGTTATTGTACCCAGTTTGGTTAGTATGGATACTGCTGTGGTTGTTGTTGTTGCTGAACGCACGATGGTAGACAAAGTGGCATACAAATGGAAACACAACTTTGTCTCTGTTGCGGAGCAACAGTGGTTTGTGTAACTGGTGCATAGGTGACACTTACGGGTGGCAAAGTCGGAACAGTAGTCTGTGGTTGATACTGCTGAACACATTGAGGAACACAGAGTGGCATACACAACGGAACACACATCACCTGCGCCTGCTGTGTTACAGGAGCTGGAGTCTGAGTGATGATTGGAACAGTTTGAGTTACCGTTGGTAAAGTGTACGCCGGTGTCGTACTTTGAACGCATTCTGCGCTGCATAGAGGCATACAAAGTCCGATGCAGATTCTAAGTTGTCTTGGTTGTTGTTGTACTACTTGAACCGGGGTCTGCTGAATATAGGGTCGAGCAGTTGTTTGTACCGGAATTGGAACTGGAGCTGCAGTTTGTTGTGTAACTGGAGCAATCGCCTGCTGTTGCTGCGTGCAAACTGGAAGACAGAGAGGCATACATGCAGCTATACATGTTGGAGCGCTTTGCACCTGTGGTGAATATTGAGGTTGAGGCTGATATATTTGTGGAGCTTGGGTTTGTGTTTGATATATCTGTGGAGCTTGGGTTTGTGGTTGATATATTTGCGTGACTGCTGTCTGCGGTTGATACTGTGGTTGTATTTGATACTGTGGTTGCTGCACTTGAATTTGTGGTTGCGGCTGAGGTTGTATTACTTGTTGCTGATATTGTGGCTGATACTGCGGTTGAGCCTGTCCTGACTGCTGGCAACTGCAACTTCCTGTACAGACACAGACTGGTGGACAACAAACCCCACTCCGTTTTCGAATTGTTTTTACTCTGGTTTCTGTCTAAAAATAAAAAAACCTTCTAAAATTTTTTTAATCTAAAAAATTTGAAAAAAAATTATAAATATTAATATTTTACTGATTAATACGATATCGAAGTAATGAAGTAACAACAGGATTAGCAGTCGAATTTAACCTGTTTTTCATATGTGCTTATGACAAGGGCAGAAGCAAGAAGCACACAGAAAAGCTTTGCCATATTTCCCAATGCACCTAGTGGATGATGTTCGCTTCATTCAGAAACTCCCTTTTATATGATCTTCAAAAAAGCCGGTCTGTCTAGTAACTAGCGCATATTCTTTTTTTTCATATTACAATTTTTACTCTTCAAATACAAACAACATCTTGTAGATGCTAAGAGCTTTTAGGAAATAAAAATGTTCTTCTTCAATTATAAAAACTAAATCGAGTTTTTTACTTGTTTATTCATATTCCATCCTTTTTTATTTTTCTTTTTTTGCATCATTATTATCACTACTGACTGATATTTTTCATGAATTTTATTCATTTCTTTATCTTTTATTGATGTTTTGATAAGTTGGAATAATTTTCAGTTATAAATATTTGTTATCATTTATGATGATCAGAACTGTAAATGTACACTGCATAGTTCGAGCTCATAAGACTTCAAATATTTGTTACAGTATTTCGCCACACCAATTCAAATGCTTCAACCTATTAAGTGGATCATCAGCAGCTCTTAGAGTCAAGATAGATTAAACTTTTGTGCTTAGATATATTATGAAAGCTTAAACAGAGTCTGATGAAATGATAGTGTTTCTGGTAGTTGTAAATCGAAATTTTTGTTTGTTTTTTAATAATAACTTTACCTGACTGAAGTTACTAAATATTTAAGTGTAATAATGTGAATAAAAAAGATTTTTGATGTTTATTTCTAATTAATTTTTTTTTTTTTTTTAGTATTATTAAGCCAACGCTGAAACATAACACACATCTTTGATGTTCAAATTATGTTCTCAGCTGTAGAGGTCAAGTCAGTTGCCGAACAGTTAAAGTAATAAACAAATAATTAAACTGCGAAATAAAAAGAAAAGATAACACTGTTGGTAACTGTAATTTTAAAATCTCAACTTTTTAATTTACCTACGATTTGAATGTTTAAAACAGAACTGTATCAGTATCACTGATTACATAAAATACGAAAAAAAGACAAAAGTTGACCAAAAACTATAATTTATTTATTTTATATTTTAGACAACAGAAAAAAAATAGAATACCTGAGCTGTTTTGCTGATAGAATTTATTCACTGTTCATAGATAGGTAAAAAAGTTTTTTTTTTTTTTTTTTTTTTTTCGCATAAAACAAATCCTTTTCTTTCTTTTTCTCATACTTAGTGTTCTTTATGGTCAATAAGTCTCAAAAATTTTTTAGCTAAAAAAGTGCAAAAAAAAAAAAGAAGAAGCTAAAGAAAAAAAATTTTACAATAAAATTGAGCATCATTGTTACAGCAGTTAGCAAACAGTAAAAACATTATACAAAAGCAGTCAGGTAGTTTACCTTACGCTTAAAGTGTCTAAAACGACAGGTTTTTCTCAGTAAAAGAAAAAAAAAAAACTATTCCACTCGTTATTCTAAGCTGACTTAGCTTACAAAAAAAAAGAGGAACTTACTTCTCATATGTCACTGGTCTCACATAAAAATTATTTGATTTACTTATTTATTTATTTATTTTTTTTTTATTTGGACAACTCAACAATAACAACAAAACATAACTGTTTGGTCTTAAGTAGGAAAAAAAATTTTTTTTGATCTATTTTTCTCCTCGTTTGTTTTCGTTCCTTTCCTGAAATAACTTTTTTACTTTAATATTAAAAAATATGAAAAAAGATAGATAGAAAAATGAAAAACTAAATACAACAGTCAAATCTTATCAGTGCTATTACGCTAACCGTTGTGGAATAAGCAACAGCCTGTAGATGTAGACAAATGTAACTGATATTATCACCATTTTTTTTTGCTCTGCTTATTGATACAGTAAGTTTTGGTACAGTAAAAGATCCGCTACGCAGGTTAACCGATGTAAAAAAAAAAAAATTTTTTTTCCAATGATTTTCTCAGTTATTTTATCGGTATATTTTGAAGATACTTTAAGCCGTCTATAAGCTAAATATTAGACTGTTGACTAAAATCTTTTATAAGAAAAAAAAATTAAAATTAGTTAGATTTAAAAAACACTATTCAAGCAGTTTGATTTATATTTGTCAGTGTTTTAATAAACTCTCTGATTTGTTTAGCCATTTGTTTTTTTTTTTTGAACTATGTAATAAACAGTATGTATAAAATATCGTAGCTATATTACAAAATGTTTATATATAAATTTATATATATATATATACATATATAAAAATATATAATTAATATTACTGCAGT